GAGGTTTTGCAGCAGTCCTTCCCACATCTTGCTGTTGCCAGAAGAGTCCCTTCTCAAGGAAGCACCTGCTTTGCGCTCCCACAGAAACAGCTCCTCAGGCTTACTGAGCGACCCAGAGGCAGCAGCACCCTCAGGTGCCACTTTCAACTCAGTCTCTTCTGCCATGGAAGTCTCGATCCCGTCATCCGAGACGGCTGGACTGCACACTTCTGACTCCTGTTAACCTGAGCCCTTCCTCCAGCCATGAATACTCCCCAGAAAGATTCCACTTGAATTTGTCCAGATCCGTAAGACATCACCGAGGCAGCTACAGCCTTAGGAAATACACTTCTCAGGTAAGACTTGAATGGAAACTGCTCCTTGACTCATGGACTACAGAATGGCTATTGTGTCTGCAGACACATCAGTCTCGTCCGTTGTACAGCTCCATCAGAGCTCTTGGGTGACTTGGGCCCACCACCAAAGAGGAAGTAGTTTGTTTGGTTGGTCTCTCCAAGCCCCGCACTGCTGGCTGAGCTCACGCGATCTCTCGAAGCCTGAGGTTTTGCAGCAGTCCTTCCCACATCTTGCTGTTGCCAGAAGAGTCCCTTCTCAAGGAAGCACCTGCTTTGCGCTCCCACAGAAACAGCTCCTCAGGCCTAATGAGCGACCCAGAGGCAGCAGCACCCTCAGGTGCCACTTTCAACTCAGTCTCTTCTGCCATGGAAGTCTCGATCCCGTCATCCGAGACGGCTGGACTGCACACTTCTGACTCCTGTTAACCTGAGCCCTTCCTCCAGCCATGAATACTCTCCAGAAAGATTCCACTTGAATTTGTCCAGATCCGTAAGACATCACCGAGGCAGCTACAGCCTTAGGAAATACACTTCTCAGGTAAGACTTGAATGGAAACTGCTCCTTGACTCATGGACTACAGAATGGCTATTGTGTCTGCAGACACATCAGTCTCGTCCGTTGTACAGCTCCATCAGAGCTCTTGGGTGACTTGGGCCCACCACCAAAGAGGAAGTAGTTTGTTTGGTTGGTTGGTTTCTCCTGCCACATGTTAGACAAGCACTCCATCACCGACCTACATTCTCAGTCTTCTGTTTACTTTTTATTTTGAGATAAGGTCTCACTGAGTTTCCAGGCTGGCCTTGATTCAACTCACTCAACTTTCGATCATCCTGCCTCTGCTTCCGCACAGATGAAATGACAGGCTGGTGCCACCAAGCACAGTGAGAGGTAAGACCTCTTAAAAATATTTTATTTATTATTTTTAATTTATGAGTATACTGCCTGCATGTATGTAAGTACACCGGTGTTGGCCTGGAGAGATGGCTCAGTAGTTAAGAACATTGGTTGTTCTTGCAGAAGACCGAGGTTCGAATCCCAGCACCCACATGGCAGCTAACAACCATCTATAACTCCAGTC